GTTGTCCAGAAATTTAAGTATCTGGGTAACTATATGCGCGCGCTAGGGATCAATAATCAGATCACGTACCTTTTAGCAAAGGCTCGAGGCGCTTTTGTCAATATCCGTCACCTTTGGCGTCGGTATGAGATTCGCTCTGAAGGGCAGAGTTTACAGTGCAGCCATACGTTAAACCTCCTTTACGTTTACGAAACCTGGCCCATAAAGTTGAAAGAGTTAAAGTGGCTTGTTACGTCCGACCATCGCAGTCTTCGCAGCTTAGCTCATGTCTGAAGGGAACACCGCGTGAGCAATGAGCGTGTTCGGCGTCGCGTAGTTGCTACAGATGTATGTATGTATGTATGTGTATGTAATCTGTGCCCCATGCTGAGGCTGATGTTGCATTCTTGATGCTTCTTCACCGCAGTTGGGCTAAACCAACTTACACTTAAATTAGGTCTTTTTAAACTGGATAAATTTCATTCCGCTTTATTTGGTTTGTTCGGCTTCCCTGAATAATGTTCTATTAACTGGCCACGTTGCTTACACTAATTGCGCTTATCTTCGGTAATTTTGTTGCGTTTGTAGCATTTTAAGTAACTTGTGGACATTTCTTATTTATCACGGATTTGTTGCTAACCAAATTACTTCATATGGTAATTTAGGGAAGAGTTATGCCACCGTATCTGTATGAATTATTGGATTTATTTTATTCCAGCTTGTCGTTTAAAGTGAATGGCTGTTGTTTGATATCCCAGGTATGGTTGCGCTTGATGTGTATGTTGACAAGGTGCCTACCTGTCTATTACCCACTACCTCGTCCATACTGGCTCCAGGAGACAGTTGGTCGTTGCTGGAGGGGACGGGGTGCACGGTTCTTGTGGCCGTGCTAGGCTCAAAGAGCGGTTCCATGCACTCAGTGTGGAGCGGACTACGGTCCAGCCACCGCCTTGTGTGCGCTTGATTCCCCAAATACAGTGTGCTTGTGTTTGCCTGTGAAGGAGTGTGGGCCGGCTCCGTTGATGAAACGTGGCTCTTATCCACATGCCTCCCGGTCTTATTCCTTCGGGTTTACACTAGATATGGGGTATGTGGTTGGAGCTGTGGGTGGTGCAGCGCAAGCCATCCATGGTCCGTCTGTAGGCGCAGGCTTCCTGTGGCTTGCCACAGTGACAGGCAAATCCGAAACCGGATGCCGCCAACCATGTATGTAATCTCAACAGTCTAGCAACTAGACATAGAGCCAACAACTAGGCATAGCTAACAACTAGACAAAGAGCCAATATTTGGTACAGAAAGAGCGAGTGAACCGCTCAGCACCATTATATCACGCACCAGGATCCGATGGCTAGGCTATCAGTTGCGCGTGTCAGCGCACCGACTCCTTCATCCTTCGTTTGCGCGCCCGGAGTGTTGATGGAAGAGAAGGAGGAGAGATCAAGCGATAACTTGGTCAAGGGAAATGAAATCTCTCACTTCGAACTTGGCGTCGGCTGGTGCTTCTCAACCGCCGGGCTGGGGACCGAAGGACGTTGAACATGTTTGTTTGGATACGGTAGCTGATATGGCGATGAGCCCACCTCAATAGCATTTGTGTTGAGTCTCTTTGTCCCTCCTCTTCGCTTTAGCTCCCCCCCCCCCAACAACGAGCTCAAACCCTATGCATAATGCAATTTACAGCATTATGTTACTTTTTATATCCTGTTTGGACTTGATCGTCTAATCTCTTATCTTTTGGTAGTACGGCACATTAGCCGAGTTGTGTCTCTCAACCTTTGCTAACCTGTACTGTTGATGATGAAGAGGTGTTGTTAACGAAAGGCCGCACCGTTTATCTTTCCGGTAAAATTAATTCCTTCCCGGAAGTCATACTGATCCGGGACCACACGTTACTTTTGTTAGACAATCCAATACTGTGTCACCGCCGATCATTTTCATCGCGTTTAGGAGCACCGGAAAGAAACGTGGTGGGTATTAGTTAACCTTGTGTTTGAGATCGCGTACACCGACTAGTAAGACAGGACATTTTGGGATAGGAAGTGCAGCGTCAGCTTTCAGCCTTAAGGATCACAAGCCTGACATTAATCCGAAGGTGCGGTTTAGATCCTGAATAAGGACCGGGCGACCCTCGCAGTATCCTTAGCCCAAGCGCAACCGGTGGTGGTTGTGCGGCAGCAAACCGTCGGTACTGCGTACTGGCGTACTGTTGATGTCTTTCCTTCTTTTATGCATCGGCTTTCTGGCCAGTTTATCCCTTTCTCCTGGGCTCAACGTACATCAAACTTATACGGCTTCTTGCGAATGCTATCTTGACAGCTCCAACCAATCATCTTTCAACAAATGCTCAATCTGGAATGCAACGTCCACGTCCAGATGCCTTGACAAAAACACCGTCCTTAACGACTTCAAATGAAATCCTCATTAGCTTACAGCAGACAAAAACGGCGCTCGCCGGATGGTCGTATAATGACGCATCAAGCACTCCAATATCGCTTATCGTCACCTGTTGAAGCACAACTGAAATATAGCCCTGGGAAACCGTGCAGTAAAGCAATAGATTGGCAGGTCACAGGAACTCGCCACCGATGCTACGTTGTGCGAATTCAATAGTAAATTGATGATCCATCGTTCCTCATCAAATTAACCCAAATTCATACAGCAACCAAGTAAAGTGAACAAAGTGTGCTCACATGAGAAACACATTACCAGCCCCAACACAAATGTACTTTGTACGATATTTGCATTTTTATAAATTAGATCCTTTTAACTACAAAACTCGTTGAGCATCCTCCTTCCTGTCCGTAATAAATCAGCCGTATAACAGTTATACTGCCTTCGAAGTACGTCCCCAACGTTGCACTCAATGACCGGTATCGACCATAGTTTAGTCTCTTCGGATAGTTAGAGGCGAGAGTAAAACCCGACTCATCGTGATTGGCGACTGAAGTTTTAATCCTTAATCCGTTGGGTTACTGCGAGCACGGCTGGACATAAAGGTTAGGAGTCCTTTGGTTAAAGCGGAGACACACCATATGCATAATGCAATTTACAGCATTATGTTACTTTTTATATCCTGTTTGGACTTGATCGTCTAATCTCTTATCTTTTGGTAGTACGGCACATTAGCCGAGTTGTGTCTCTCACCCTTTGCAGAGACACACTTACAGATGACCAACTATGATGGTTATCCTTGATTTAAAAGCCGCCTCCGACGCTGTTGATTGAGTTAGCCGGTGGCACTGCCTATTCGAGAAGCGCGTGTCAGCTTAACACTCTTCCATTCTGAAGTTTCTCTACCATGATTCTCAAGGCCATGTTGTGGCCTATCTCCTAATTTCCACACGACAAGTGGGGTTCGGCAAGTTTACCCTATATCTCTTCTTTAACTCTGTGATGGAACAACATGAATGGCTCGCTTCTTTCAGACTCTACGGGAGTGGAAATTCGACCATGGGGCCAATTGACAAACCTGGAGTATGCGCATTCTATAGGTTTTCTTGGGTCTGACGCAGTGGCCATGCAAACACTACTGAATAGACTGACGCGTAGCGCTGCACGCTTTCGCACATTCTTTGCACCTCTATGGTACATAAAGTACTGCTGCAAGATTGGCGCGATACGTACCTTGGTAACTGTGTCACCTCTGGTGGTCACCTCACGGTGAATGTTACGTTACGTACCAGGCTCAACCATCTAAGGAGACGGCGGACTACCAGCTTGTCGATGGAACGTAGGGTGTGTAGCAGTGCGATAAGGCCGGTGCTATTTTATAGACCAGTGACGTGGCCAGTTCGCAGTGAAGAAATTAAACGTCTGACCGTGTTTGACCATCGGTGATTACGGTGTACCGCTCACTACTGGTAGGAGCATCGAGTGAACAGTGCCGTGGTCCGAAAGAATCCTTCTGCTTCCTCACTCGTGTGTTTACTGAATCTTAATCGCGTACGTCATTAGGCCATGTCCTCTGCATGCCCGTTGATCAGCTTCCTCGACGTGCATTATACCCTGTGGCGACACCAAATTGGGCGAAAGCGCAAGGTAGCCAGTCCACGACGCGGCATATAGGCAAACAAGACTGACTGAGAGAATTGGGCAGGCAGGTATGTGCCGTCCTCGTGTATGGAGGCTTCAGAATGGTCCACACCAATGGTTGCAGTCAGTGGCGTTCCTGTATTCGGGTTCTTGTATTTGCTAGTTACTTCTCGTTCCAATCTGATTAGTTTGATACATATCCTTCTGGGTTTCATTTTCTTCACAATCTATTTCCATTCATTCCCACTTTATGCCGTTGTTATTTAGTTTATTCTGGTAACGAGAGTTGAAGCAACAAAATCCACCACATTTCGTTGCCTGAATCAATCTAACCGGAGGGTCGAGTCTTGGAGTATTCACTGCGTGAGATTGATTATTGCAACCCAAATACACAGTGGGTATTTCGAAACCTGACAGTAAACCTCTCCTGTGACATAACCAGCTGAGAAGTGAACTGTGTTGTCGCCCTTGTTCCATGCTTCCACTGGATCTGCAGTGGTTTCCCCACCAACAGACTATCGGTTGGAACAAAGTGGAAAGATTTGTGGCACGACACACAAAACGAGTAAAATGCTCTAATTTGGTGCTGTTTGATGTTGGATCCCGCGCACTGACTACCTAGTAGATGTAGCCAGGAATGATTTACTCGGCCCGAAAAACCACACAGCAAATCTCCACGAGTTGTGCTCGCGTCAGTACCCCATTTTAAACAAAGCGATGTCGTGACCGTGGCTATTAGTTCCACATACATGCGTGCCAGTTCAAATGGCTGACCGGTTAATGAGCTGTTTGATGAAAAGCCAGTTGACCGAGCCCTTTTACGTGTAAACACGATCGGAGTTCAATTTCCGAGGTAGAAAAAATGCTAAAGGTGCAAAAATTTCGCCTTTCCCTGCTGTTATAAAAGACCATTTATTTCAAATCAATTTCATTGTCCAACTGTTTTACACCGATCTTCGGATTTTGCTATTGTCTCCGTTCATTGGCAGGCAGGTATCGCTGAACTACCACCGGACACAGGAGTCAACCCACTTCTGTTGAAACTAGCGGATTTAACCGGACAGACGGACTCTGGTCAGACGCGGAAGCTCATTTTGAACGTTCAGACCCATGAGACGGCCGCAAGTGGGTAAGTTCCGTTCCACTGCTACCTGCATGTTCACCGTGATAGCAATGTAGGCTGCATTTCCATGCATGTTAATTCCATGTTGAAAGCCTACTACCAACTTGCAGGTAGTTTTAAACAAAACAATCGTTCCAAAATATGCTATTGTTTAAAAGTACCAGCACATTCTGTCCGCACCAATGCGCGCCTGAAGGAAAGCCGAGGCGTTCTCTCTGAAGTCAGACTGTCCAATCGACATGACCGGAAGCGTCCATACGACTGCACGCGCGCACAGCGTCACACTTGTTAGTCTTCCCTTTGGTGTGGCCGCAGACTCGACCCCAAAGTGTTATCCCTTGATACGCAGCGGACCAATGTGGTCCAGAGCACACGTGTTTACTGCGCTACGAGTGCCAACAGGCAAATTACCAACTGAGGCGATTGATAGTACTGGTTCACCAGCGGTTTCGTTGTCCTGTCGAGGATGATCAACCAATGGGAGACACAATACGTGATTGGTCATACTGACAATCTGTCATAAAGTTTCTCTACCACTCGAGCGAGATGACACCTAAGTGAGTGGTAATAAGAAGTGGATTGGTAGATTTTGTTGAGGCTGCAACTCTTGCAGGCTGTTGGAAGAGAAACTTTGAAGGCTTACACGAGCGAGATGATGTCCAATTGAGTAATGATAAGAAGCGGATTGGTTGATTGTGTTGAGGTTGCAACCCTTGCAGGCTGTTGGAAGAGAAGCTTTGTAGGCTTACGGGTTGACTGCACGCTTGCCTTTCTTGCTCGCTTGCCTATCTGGCTACACGTGATACGGTATGGATAGTGTAATCGTGCCACTGCGAGCAACCTGGAGAATCGATAGGTGTGCGATTTCGCTTAGGATATGCGTGTGATTATTAAGGCAGTGTGAGGTACTCAGAAACAATGCAGTAATTCATATGAAGGAGGTAAAGCTAGGAACTCTTAGCAAATAGAAGTTTTAAAAGCCTTACGGCTACAAAGTTCTCGTGCTGTATCTTTTCAGTTGGCCGTGCACTCGTGGATAGCGTAGCTAGGTATTGCTGATGTAGTCGGCGCATTGTATACTAAGGTCAAGTTCGCTGTGTAGGTAAGATCATCAGTGGATCTGTAGCCATTGTTCCAAAGAGGATGGTTCCTAGTGTGGCGGTGACACGACATTAGTGAGTGTTCTTTCGTCTGTAGGCCACTTCAGTAATCAGTTACCGCTACAGGACCCATGGACCTGCCGTTAGGTTGAGGTAGTAAGATGCATGTCAATCCTGCGTTTTAACATGATATTTACACTTCACTTCCAAGTGATTGATAAGCTTGAAATATTAATTGACCCTACGGCCCTGATATGAGCTGCCAACGAGCATTGTATACGCATAGTAAGCATAGAGTTTGGAGCAATTTTCCTCCTTCAAAAATGCCTCCGGAATTACCTACTTTCCAATGACATAATGTTTCCGAGTAGCTGCCAAGTCGATAACAACCTGTGTCACGGTGTGCACACATGACTGCTTCTAAGACTAGCTGAAACAGTGGTCCATAGCAGGATTAGTAGGCGCGGTTGCCTTTGTAAATGATTGCAAACACATTGTAGGAACGCCCGTGGGTGAAACAACAGTGTTTGTCTGTTCCAAGTACTCATCTGAATTACCAGAGTAAAATGCCTGCGTCGCCAATAATTATAAGTCTTGCGTTCTTTCTAGCAGGTCGATGTGGCATGTATAAACACCGAAGTCATTGTAGCCCCTTTAGCTGCCTCTTTGTTGAGTAATGCCGATTTCATGAGGATAGCATGCCAGTCCATGGAAGTAATAGGGAGGTTCCATCTGCATTGACTGTGCTTCTAATGGTTACATTTGGAGAGCCACTTGTCAAAGCGTCTCAAAACGTATGGCAGATCATATGGAAGTGAAGCCTAATTATCTTATAAATACATAGGTTCCTATAACCTTTACATAACGCCATACATGGAGACACTGAAGCGATAAGTGATTAACAAAGTTGCCTATGGGTGTGGAGACAAACGAACACTCACTGACGTCGTGTCAACGCCACACTTGCAATCCTATCATTTTTTGTTGAGTCATCAACTGTGATCGAAGTAAGCAAAGTTAGAATTTTCGTTGTTCAGCTTCAGGTTGGTCTGCCAACTTCAATGGGAACCATGTCCCCCATGACCGTTGCAATGACAATCGCACACAATTGTCTAACCACCTAGCAGCCATTGCTGATCTGCGAAATACCAGTTAGATTCTGGCCTGTCTATGCCACCATGGTAAGGTCGCTGAATAAGCCACCACCAGGTAGGCGCTAGCGAGCACTATAGACCGCTTCATGTGCTCGTCAGTATGTCTGTCCGCACGGGTTACGTCTTAAGCTTCGGATCATGTGCTAGCTAGGATCTCCTCCTTAGACAGGCATCGCAAGTTGCGCATTGGACGGTTTTAGTTTGGAGACCAATCATCGAGGTTTCATTCAGATAGGCATCAATATAGAACAGAAGGTGGTGCTCGACCACTCTCATTGGACTGTCTGTCGCTTAAGCTGTGGGCTTCTAACCGGTGTCCCACTGGTTTACGTCCCATGACCAATGAGAGCGTCAACGACGCCAAAACAGCGTTCCTAGCCTCCTTAACTTGAAAGTAATGCACGCGATTTCGAAAATGTGCCATGCTAAAAGCTTGGTACAATGCCCTAACATGCGTTGCAAATGGTATAATTTTGCAGAAATCTGTCAACAGACCATTGACGCTGGATGACGTCGTAGCCAGCCTCAACGATTGTTCGTCACCTTCAATCAAGTGACTGAGCCGGGACCAGACAACCCATCGGGCACTGAAATCGCGAGTGTGTTGAGTTCATGATGCCTAAAATGACGGAGCACATGCTATGACAGCTCAACAAAATCACATTATTGCCTTTCCGATGACAGAATAATCGTTCGTCACGTGTAAAAATGCAGGGCTTGACGACCCGTCGGTTTATATTCTGATCTGTATAACGGTAGCATGACATGAGATTTGAATGTGAGCACAAACCAATGTGGAGCCGTTAAAATCGGTGTATTCTGGGAGAAAAATGACAACAACAACGGTCAGTGACATGCCGCTTCTGTGGGTCCATGTGATAGGTAAATCCAGTATGAGCGCACTGTGAAGGCAGACCACAGTTGCGACGTCTACGCACTGAAGATCAGGAAGTGAAAATGAGCACAATGATTGTTGGCGTTAAGTTGACACTTAGTCGTAAATGGCTATGTATCTTCATGGCAATGTATCGGTGTTTCACAAAGACGTTTTTTGAATATTGTTAGTGTGGGGGAGGAAACAGCGTAATTGAGGATGTCACATTCCAACCGGCTGCAATATGTGGCCAGCATTAGCTGGTAACCCTCAGAGCATGATGACAAACGTGGTTCAGATTCCTCAGAATCTTATTATCAAATCGCCACGCAGTCTTCGATGATCGTCCACTGTAGACCCCAAGGGTATTCAGGCCCAGTTGTTAAGAGGGATGAGACGGGCCCTTTCCGTTCTTGGTCTCCTTCCATTGTGGCATTTAAAGTGAGGAAATGTAATGCTTGTACCAGGGTTACCAGAAGTGGATGGCGCATGCTAAATAGGACCTAATATAGGCGTTCAGCTTCTGAGAGAAAGTGAAAGGGTCGAATCACTGGAATGCCTGCCGCAATACGCCAGATTGTTGGTTGGCTTTTCTGGATACTTTATCGGCCTGAAGTGAACTGTCAACATCGTCTTGTACTACCGCACCTACATCGCATTCAAGTAAACCGCGCCGCAAAACTTGTTCCCCCAGCCTGTACTCGCAATGGATCGACGGCGCATACTCAATGTCTTACACTTGGTGGCGTTGAAATGAAGGAAGATTTGAGATTATTCCACAGCTACTTGGTCGTCTGTCGTTTCGATGACTCGTCAGATATTGAAATACTTATGGATTCGACGAGACGTTTACATGACAAAGCAAGTGGCTAGCTTGCCGCATGCGAAGGGTGCAGATGATTAGACGCCTACCCATCTTCGCTTATAGAGTTATTATTTCATGTTTGGCAGGGCTAGAGAGAGTAAGTTTGGCTGATACAAAGGAAGAAGTGAATGCGGAGTCGTCGTTAGTTACGGAAGTGACCTACTTATTTGCCTCGAGGCTTCAACAAGTTAGTCATGCTGTCATTTTGGCTGAGCTTTTTGTCGCAAAGACCGTTTGTCCATGAAGGACCGAGTTTCGCGACAGAATTTATCAAGCAAGATAAGCACTTTGATGTGATCACACTTGCAAAGCCATTTACATAACACAGGAATAGGCATGAACCAAGTACTGAACCTGGTATTGGGTTGATAATAGAGTTATTGTGTGTTCATATTTTTAATCTAACAACTGCGTTTCTTAATAATTTTTAATAAGTTGCTCTGACCCTGTATATCATTTGGAAGCTTGTTTTGCGCTCTAGCTAAGGTGCCGTTTTAGCTCGGAAACACATTTTTACATCTTTCCAGAACATCTAATGCAACATGGACAGAAGACAAATTCACAGGAATTGCTTGTACTAATTTAAACTTGGTAGCAATGTAGCGGAAACAGCCCATGATATCAACAGTGCACTTGGTGCTGGAACCACTAATAACCATACTGCACAATGATAGTTTCAGAAATTTCAAAAAGATTACAAGAGGCTTGAAGATGAAGATCATTTCGGACGGCCATTGGAAGTGAACAACAATCAATTAAGGGTCTTAGTTAAAGCACTTCCGAATAAAACTATTCGAAATCTTGCTGCTAGATTAGCAGTATCGCATGTGACAGTTCTGACACACGTATGGGCGATTGGAATGTCGGAAAAGCTTGATAAGTGGACGCCGCACGAATGGAATGAAAATCAAAGAAAATGTTTTGAGGTGTCGCCTGCCCTTCTTCTGCGTAAGAAAAAGGACACGTTTCTCAACAGGATTGTAACTTGCTATGAAACGTCGATCCTTCACGACCATCGACGAAGAACCTCTCAATGGTTGGACCATGAGCAATCTCCACAACACTTTCCAAAGCCGCAATTACATCCAAATAGGATTATGGTGACTGTTTGTTCGTCTGCGGGCGGTCTGATCCATCACAGCTTTCTGAATCCAGGCGAAAGCATTACAGCGGAGAAGTATTGTCAACCAATTGTTGAAATGCACCGAAAACTTCAACACAGGTGCCCGGCACTGGTCAACAGAAAACGGTTAATCCTTCTCCATGATAACGCTCGGCCGCACATCGCACAATCAATCCTGCGGAAGCTGCACGAAATGAGCTATGAAACTTTGGTTCACCCAACGTACTCCCCTGACCTCTAGCTTATGGATTAACACTTTTCAAACACCTGGAAAATCTCATAGGAGAGAAAAGTTTTAAGATGCAAGGATATGATGAAACAGCCTTCTAAGATTTCATCCCCATCAGAACTGCGGGATTTTATTCATCCGGAATAAATAAACTCGTAACCTTTTGGCATGTGTGTCAATTCAAATGGCTTTTATTTTAAATATAAATGTTACTTCTGAGTCAAGCTATGTGCATTAAATGTTTAGGCTTAACAAACGCAATAACTTTAGTAACAACCAAATGGAATTCCGCACTGAAATTCTACAGGGGAACTGATGACAATGCGAGCTATCAAAATCAGATGTTGTAGTGGGACGTTACCTATTTAACCGAGGACCGGTCACCAGATCCACAGCCCTGGAGCTTGAACAATGCTTGAACAATGCTTTATCACGGGATAAAAGCAAGTACTTGACACGTCCCGTAGGATGGTTGGGGTGAATATGATGAAATCAAAGTATATCTGGGTCATCTACCGAACGTCTGCCTAGATGAATACTTCGATAAATTACATCAGTGTAAAATTTAAAAGAAACTCGAGCGTAAACGTTCCAAAATACACCGGGGTGAATTGATCGTTGGTATAAGGCGTGAGAAAAGAAAAATATGGTCGCTCACTTGGGTCCATTTGATAGCTAAATCCTGTTGAAAAGCATGCTTGGCGTAATCCACAATAGAAGAGTTTAGGTAACAAAATGCTGGGAGCTAAGAGCAACATCTAATCGTTTTTTGAAAACGTCCAAGGTAGGAGAGGATACAACTGAGTCTGGGAGTGAGTTCCAGGGTTTGCGAACCCGAATGGAAAAGTAATTCCGTCGACACTCTAGACGGCTATATTGTTCCTCCAATTTTAAGCACTTACCCCTGAGCTGCGTGTTGTGGCTAAGTTTCAGCAAATGGCAGCATACGTGGTTGGGGTCACTCAATATCTGATACGCTAATATGGAATCGCCGCGCAGCCTTCGATAGCGTCCGCTGAAAATTCCCAGCAACTTCAGCCTTCGGTGGTAAGAATGATAGCACAGGCCCTTTACCTTTTTTGTTGCTCTTCGTTGTGGTGCTTCTAACGCTTGGGAAGAAGGATGCGGCGTGAAGTGTTAGTTCCTCGCCTGAATTGACGGTTGATTCTCAATCGGAACTCGAGGTCGCTGGCCCCCCACAGGACAGAAGACCGAATCGGACAAACGGATGAACTGGGATGTATTAGTCATCCACACCGTTTGTTATAAAATCTAAATTTCATGAATGGTATTTAAAGCTCACATGCAAACTCCAGAATTGTCAATTTACGGCCAGTTAAGTAATGCCACCCTCGAGTTAATCGGCCGTTTCACCCAGTTGGCTATCTGTTCGCCCCAATTAATGCCGGTGAGTTTGGCTCGTCTGCTATGCCTTGGCTCCGTAACGCCGATGGGCGCCTCGGTTGTTCGCTTTGCGGATTCCTTCCTAGCACGTCTCCCCTTCGAGTTGTGTTGTACGATTACAGCTGGGGTTTGATTTGCATGGGTGACACGAATTGACGTAGCTGCTTCGGCCTCTGTGCTCCTAGTTTTCGGGGCAAATCATGTGATTGATGTATTGGGGTATGTTGGTGAGTTTTCGATTCATCTGCGTCGACCAGTATGTTCAGAGGTGATTGCGCTGCTGGCACTTGTGGTTTTAATTGTTCGTTAGTCCCTGCCTGTAGCAGCTGTTTGGCATGTAGTTGATTTTCTCGCATGTAGTAGTACGTACGGATAGTACGTACAATAGGATAGTACATACAGGATAGTACGTACAGGATAGTAAGCATAGCAACAGGATAGTACAGGATAGTACTGATTTCACGCCGCATATCACTGCACTGAGGACGCCACGTCGCATGGTGATGAAACGTCTGCGACAAAACAGCCAAGCTCGGAGAACAAATGAACAATTGATTCATCAATCCGAGCTATCAGTATTTCGAAACATTTTCAACTTCTGCCCACCTCAGGCCTTGCGCCACTACATCTGGTAAACAAAACAAGGACCTCCTCGGTGTGCGCTGATCGGACCTATGTAGTACGTGCCCAAACCAACGCAACCTATTCAGCGTTATCTGTTTTTCAAGGAACTAATCTGATTATCATTGCCTAGGATACGTCTACACCATCCGGGATCATCAATGCTATACAAACAGCGATGATCAGACTTGAAGCCTCCTCAGATCCTCGAACTGAAGGGGACAGGTCTCGCTTCCAAAGACTAGGACGACCCTCTCTGTGGCTTTGTAAACACGGCCTTGTAGATAGAGTGAAACCCCTTTCTGACGCCAAAGATGTCGCAGATTCAAAAAGAGTTCTAACTTTTGCAATGCGTGAACTGACTTCAGGTGCTATGCGCCCGTCGCTACTGATACAGCTTCTAAGTTAGGTGAAGTGATCAACTATCTAGAGTTCCTCGCCATCAAGGGTCAAGTGGTCGTCAAGTTGCTAGTGGTTCTGTAACAGCTCTTTGCACTTTAATGACGCGAAACGCATGCCGAATGATGGGACCACTAGAGAGGTTATTCAGGGTTGATGGCGCCGCAGCAACATAGTTAAAAAGCAAGGCAATGTCGTCCGCATAATCATCCTCCACCAGCTTTTCACTAGGCTGTACCTCAACGCCTGCAGCGTGAGACTCCGCAAAAGAATACTTCATGATGGAGCGCACGACAAAAGGAAAACAAAAATAAGGAAATTGGGCAACCCTGACAAACGATAAGTTAACGTGGATCCTAACGCGGCCCATAGTGTCCGAGTACAAAACAAGTAAAATGTTCACATATTTCGCGGGAACACCTTTCCGCGCAAATATTTCTAACACAATGTTCGAAATGATTTGGAATATTGGTAGCTCGGGAGGCTTGCTCAGTTGTTGTGGAGTTCTCCGAGCTGGGCAACTTGGTTGCAGACGTTTCGCCACCATTCGAGGTGGCATCTTCAGTGCGGGATTAATAGCAGGTAAGTAGCAGTAGCTGGTAGAAAGCACTGAAGATGCCACCTCGAATGGTGGCGAAACGTCTGCAACCAAGTTGCCCAGCTCGGAGAACTCCACAACAACTGATCGAACACAATGTATCGATTAACTGAATCTGAAGCACTCTTAAAGTCCACGAGCACATATATTGTCGGTCTGCAGTACGCTTTGCCCTGATTTAGCAAGGGCCGCAAATGGTTTATACAGCCCCGCCCTGGACGGAAACCTGCCTGCTCTTCTTTAATCCGAGATTCCCGTTTCGCACACACTAGTAACTTGTTAAGTTGTTTGACAAAATCACCGCGTGTGTCCCTAGCTATGTTCTTTCTTGGGCTCCTCCGGCAATCATACCAGAGCCCCAACACGATTAGATTGAACAACTTTCAGTGAGAATTGCGGGTGTGGACTTTATTTTCAACGGCGAGGATATTAAGCTCCATTTGCTGCCATAGGACGTTCATTTCCACAGAGCTTCACAATGAATTGCAACCCAATAGGTTGCCGTGAAGATTAGAAAACAATTATCTTAAATACCTTATAGATCACTAAGCCCATGGGGAATTTCAGTAAATGACGTGTTTTTGAAAATGACGGAAGGGTGATAAAATAACTTCTAGTAGGAATGCTTACAGAGCGCACGTCCTACTCAGAGAGGAATATAGAAAAGCACTGGTAAACTACATTGTGGGCTGATCCTCAAGTGAAGATGCCGCGAATACCTTGCGCTGCATTTCTAAGATGTCATCCACGTCTGATTATCACACTGTAGGAAATCCAGACGGTGTGCGTAGTAGCATGATAAGAACTATCAGGCGCACCGAAGCTCATAAGCCAGTATTGTCTGCATTTGCGTATAACAAGTATTCAGGTCAGGAGGAGTTAGAATGAGAAGCTGGGTCCCTGGCCTACTCATGCACCATTGGTTCCACTGTCATGCAAAGGTGAAGAGAAGTGTTGTGGGCCATGGTGAGTTGAAGAGTTCCCTAATGGGATTTGGATTTTCAAGAAACTAAGTTGCCGGTGGTTTAACTAGTATACGGCGTGGAGAGATGCGCTGGACCCAACGCATATTTGGCGAAGAATTACAAGAAATCGGAAGCTAATTACTTAAAGCAGGGTGCAGCGTAACGCGCAACTTACTTGGCAAAAGCAAGGGCTGGCGTTTTAAGATCAGTAAAACAAATGGAGTGTGGGGTGGTTTAAGAAACAATAACGTTTGGTGTTGCGAATTGTTACTAGCACAACCCATTCAGAACCTAGTAAACATCATTTATAAGCTGAGCTGACTTTTTGTAGATTCACTGAATATACTACTGAACTCCAATCCTGCATGAAATACTACTGATTTATTTATTTGTACTCTATAAAGCTCTATAAGAGCCACCTGGTGGCATATTCTGATAAACAAATTATTTGTTACTTTCTCTCATCTACTAACATCTCCCTATCAATTTGTTACCGACTGCTTCACTTCAGGCTCTCTATTCATCCAAGCAAACCGCTGCTATGCTCCGCGGGGGATGACAAGCAGTGCAAGCTTTGGAGTGCTGCCTCAGTGACACCACTCCTAACATTTGCAGCGAACGGACTGTGGTTGTCCAGCGCGGAGCTTAATCCCAAAGAGGACCTGGTGGCCACAGCTGGTGGAGATGGCACCGTACAGGTAAGTGTGATAGAGATTTCATCCGTCCCAAAAGTACTGAAGTTTTCCAAATAAGAGTGTTGCAAATTTCACCAAGCGGAACTTTTCACTGGTATTGATGCTTTGATTAGTTTCATCTTGTTCCAAGAGTGGATGCAGCTAATGGTTGGCTGTTCGGTGAAATCTAATCTGTCTGCACGTTGAGCGAACTTGATTACTTGGTGGATACCGAACGTTTCTGTCTTTGAGCAAGCGCTATAGGATCTACACAATCTGAATGTCTTGAGTGTAGAACAACAACAGAAACTATCACAAGAACCGAAGGAACCAGGCGCTAACTTGCCTCAGTAGTGCTACTGAGGATGTGAAGTTCGAAAGACATCCTTCTAATAAATTTGTATGTGCCGAGGTCAGTACTTTGATTGAGCGTTTGGAAAAACTGAAACAAAGTCAAGTTTCAGTCTTGAATGCAGGCTCACCAGATGAATCGTCAGAAAACTTTGGGCATCAGTTACTCGTAACACGCTCACAACTTGTATGAGCATCTTGTGCCCAGCCTATCACGCGGAATGTCTAATTCTCTAAAGCATCACCTATTTTAAGATATTGCGGAAGCACTATGGACTGTGTTTAGCATTTGTCTCGCCGTTCCCAGTTTTCCAAACTGAATAACGCAAACGCCAATTTTTCCATACTGTTTCAAACTCTTAGCTATCTGCACCTGGCGGTTTGGCTTATGTAGCGTCCCCACGTCGTACGGTCAAGCGAAACCAGCATGAATACACACTTTCGGTTGCTGAAATGAAACTCAAGCTGCCCACTTTGCGGTAATTCCATAGCCTTCTTCACTCTGTTAGACGGCTCGTGTTTGACAGCCGTTCATAGCCAGATCGTTGACATTCGTGACTGTCCTGTCACGTGACTGTGTTGGACGCACTCACCGTAGGGGTTCAGAGTTAGACCGTTGAGCATTCATGACGACAGCCTGCCTCAAAATTCTGTTCCATCTGCTCTGTCAATGCGGAACGAAGGGTCACTCCTTCCTCCTCCTGAGAGGAAGAGCGCACTAAATTGCCAACTGTTTAATAGTAGATGTTGGTCTATCACAAAACCTCTCACCCGGTCACATGGGTGTAGAAGGATGGTATGCATGCCTGCGGGTACATGGGTACTTGCCAGTGTCGTCCATCATGAAAGCGTTGGATCATGCGCGGATGGTTGTTGGAGTCAACCTATGACACGCCACAGGGCAAATTAACCGATGGATACATACGGTGTGTTGGGCTGGTTGGAACGGAGGTGTGCAAAATCAAAACAGCAGTGCACCAATACCGGGCTATTGCGGTAGAATTGTGGTGGCGTCGACAAGTAACTGGCCTGAGCAAGGAGTGTGCAATAGGTGCTTAGTGTAAATCTCAGCTAATGACAAAATGGTTAGTGGCAACGCGCTTTTAGACTGTAAGTTACCTACCAAAAACCTACCTTAGCAAAATAGGCATTCATTACTTTCAGGCCTTGCAAATATGAAGTGTGAGGTTTTGAGAAAGGAGTCTTGAAAAGCTATGCCGCCTAAAGACTACTCTCTGCCGCATAGCCTATTCTCCCTTCGCAGTATTGATCGCGGTTGCAGGAAGGAAGTGGGGTTACGCTGCCCAATTTGTTTCACGCGGGACCGTGAGCGTTCATTCCAACGTATTCACTGATGAGGCAATATTCCATTAGCACGGAACTGAGAAGCTTCATTTTTAGGCGGATACTAAAAATCACGTATCAGTAGCAGTGTCACTCACGTATCACTTAGCTCATGGCTTGAAAAATGGATGAGAAGTCGTGGGACCACAGCACGCGCATGTGGGTTCTCACGCTTACTGTGCACCACAGGCCCGTTATCCCTTTGGTAATTTCTCTGACACATTATGATGCAAACACCAAATAGAAAATTCAAAAGGATGTATAAGCCACGATTTCACGGTCTGTATTCTTATTGCAAACTTGTTGCACCATCTTTCTTTCCCCTTCGTGTGACCGGTTAGCTATGGTTCGGAAGCATTCATCCCACGCCAGAGTCTGTAGGCCGATGAACAGGATACGAACACGAAACCTCGTAGCCTATTCTCACATCACTATCTCGTTCACATCCTCCCTGTATTTCTTAGGCACAATCATGAAAAACGGGTATTACCATTGTGAACCAAGTTGCACGGAAGTGGTCGGTCTAAGCGACATCGAATCAGCTTCACTGGTGGATTGCATTCTGGCCCGACGCAACTTTGGCACCATTTGACCCTGTACCAATGTAGTCCAGAAATCAGTGATAACGGTGTATACGTATATTAACATAAAAAGCATAACGCGGTGTTATGTCCGTCCACGACGTAGATGCTCAACATGCACGCCGGCGTTTTGCTTGCACTGCGGAAATCGTCTGAGGCAATGGGCCATAAGTTTTCGCAAAGTTTCCGTGTTGATGAAGCGATATTCGTTGACAACACTGCCTTTCAGCTGTTCCAGTGAAACAGGCGTTTTATTGTAAGCTATTGTTTTCAAATAATCCCATAGGAGGAAATGTAAGGGGTTCAAATCTGGTAACTGGGCAGGCCACTCCTTTGAACCTCTGCGACCGATCCAAAGGTGACCGAACACCTCATTAAAATAATGCCGCACCGTTTGTACATAATGGGCAAGTGCGCCATACTGAACCTATAACGGCAAAAACGAAGTGCCGAATTAGTCAACGATAATCGGTGGTGAAAACATTTCTATCTTGTAGCTCCTACGTAATTTGTCAGCGACAGTTCCATTGCCACTGGAGAACCATGATAGACAGAGGTGGTGATCGTAATTGAGTTACTTTGCAAACACGAGGTTAACCTCATATAGTCAACGGAAGTACGTGACTCTGGCTTTCAAGAAGCGCATAACGCAGCCTACTGAGCTTCAACGGTTCCGTCCACCGCGATCAACTTTAAAGTAAACATCAACAGCCACGCCTGCACGCTGTCGGGCAATTGAGCGATCGAGGGTTTCTCACCTAGCCATCTTGTTCTATTTTCTCGTAGAGTTAATTCAACAACGACGAAGTAGGCACAAAACTGTCCAGTGTAACAATGTGCTAGTGAAAGGAATCGTTATACATTATACATATATTTACAAGAAGGATTTTTCAAGAGCATAAAGACCAGCGAAGCAGATGTTAAATATTACCACCGTCGTTTCGCTTGCAGGGCAGTATTCGCCCGATGCTATTGGCTAACACTTTCTGCAAAGTGTCCACGATATACTGCAACATTCGTGGACGATGCTCAGTTTCACATCCTTTGACCTGCTGCTGCGGAATGACATAGGTCCGAGAGATTTCTTTGTAGGATGCTGACAAATGTGAAGCGCCAGTACCGTTAATAGATCAACTTACCCGTCATAAAAGTCAACGAAGTAGATGTTCAAAATGACCGCCGTCGTTTTGCTTACGGAGCAGTACTCGCCGGCTGCTATTGGCTACCACTTTCTACGAAGTGTCCACCGATATACCGCGGCATACGTTTACGATGTTCCGCTTCAGTTCCTCCAGACAGGTTGGCTTGGTTTTATACACTCGGCGTTTCAAGTACCGCCATATGAAGGAATCCAGTGGATTCAATTCAGGAGATCGTACACGCCAAGCAATAGGTCTTCCACGACCGATCCAGCGATTACCGAAAGTTTCGTTAAGGTAATCACGTGCCGTTTGTGCAGAATGGGCAGGCGCATCATCCTGCTGCCACTAACCGGTACTCAATAAGCCTTCGGCCTGGAGCTATGGAATGATCCTGGAATGCAATATTTCTTTATACGAGGATGCTAAGAAATGTGAAGCATTAGTTCTGTTACAAAAATCAACTTACCCGTCATATTCTTGGAAAAGAAATATGGTCGGAGAATTTTTCACCGTCAACCCAGCCCATGCCATGAGTCGTGCATGTTGCACACGCGAAGCGGTGTATTGTCCTGGGTTATTAGTAGCCCAAAAATGCCACTTATCGTTGCCATGCAGACGGAAAGATGCTTTGTTTGTAAACATGATTGCGTGCACGTCCATAATATCCAGATACCATGGGGAAAATTTCAAACGGTTCTCACAATCGCATGGCTTCATAACTTGAAGCTGCATTGCACGATACCTTCGGAATCTCCGTTCCTTCAATATACCAAATTGGGAGCGTGTGCGACGCAAAGCGAACCGGCAGGCCTCGTTCCGCTTGTGCTGTTGTTGATGAGGTTGCCCGAAATGGTGATGTACGGATTCAGAGAATTGCGCAGCATTGTGCCACCACACGATCTTCTGTGCATCGCGTAGACTCTTGCACCGTTCGGAGACCGCAGGATAGTGGCTTCAGAATGTAGGTTAGTGGACACAGCACTCTTTGCTGTCATGGGCGTTTTCACAAACATGTTCGATCCTTATAAGCATAGGTGACTCAAATGCCTATGAGAACGCCCGTGGCCCGTCAGCTGCGTGTGCTGACGCGAGACAAGTACGAAAACACGACCAATAGGCTCACTGGCGAATCATGCACCGGACCGATTTTCACCAGTTATATTCTCTTAGTATCACTTGGTCCTTAAATGGTGACATTTGTGAGCAAGTAGTTGTTGTGCATCATGTCGAAAGTCCCTCAAGGAAATCTAAACCTTACTTGGTGACCTCATTTGCAATTAGTATCAGCTGTTGCCAATGGGACTATGCTTTCCTTTCATATCGCTTCGCATCGAAGAGAGTGGAAATAGAAACCGCTGCATTCTTTCAGTTATTATGAGGGAGTGAATCCAAAAATCAGATGCCTGGTCTTATTTCAGCAGCTCCACCTTGTCTGAAACCGACACTAAAGTAGACTCGAGTGCTCTAGCTAATGGTGACGAGCCAGTAACTTCGACGTCGTGAGGTTTCTCACCGTAGAGGTCGAGGTCAGTCAATAGGCTACCTATCCAGTTGCTCCTTCATCCGCCGAGCTTGGAAATTTGTCTGCAAACGTTTCACCACCATA